AAGTAAGAAATACAATAACGGGATCGTGCTTCTCTTATGAGCTCAAAATTTTCCCACATGACACACTTGCACTAACACCAAACACCCCAATTGCCTGTGCCCTATTTTGAGATGGATTAAAACTACTTCTCATTTTCACTTTTTTCTTTTTTTTTACAAAAAAAAGTTAAAAATATAAATTAGTTTAATAATGATTATTTTTTAACCCACTGAAGAGTATTTTTCATCAAATTTTAATAATGATTATTTTTACTTAAATCTTAGGGGTGAGCATGGTCCGGATTGGACCGGATTGGGATAAAACTAGGACCAATCCGTTATTTACGGTTCCTAAAAAATTGGAACCAATCCAATCCGTTTAAATCATGGAACCAATCCGAACCAATCCATTTAAATACGGATTGGATCGGTTTAGGACCACGGATTCACATAATTAAATAACAAAAATATATATATAACACTTGAATTTCATAAAAATATAAACATAGCGCTATATTAGTTCCATAATAGCAACATGTTTTTCTATAATAACGACATACTGTTCTAGAATTTAAACAACCATAAGAAAACTGGTTTCACCATAAGTATTTAGACCATTGCAAATTAAAACTTAAAACTAACAAACAAAAGTAATAAAAGAAGATATTATACGATTTTAGGTTTGAGTTTAGATTTTACATAGAATAAGAAAAGATACTATGGGGGAGGATGTATAATAAAAATATACACTATTTGTATACGGTCCGGATCGGTTCCAATCCAGAACCGTGGGATTCAATCCGGAACCAATCCGTGAACTACGGATTTTTAATTATTCAATCCGGAACCGAACCACGGATTCAAAAAACCAATCCAAACCTATCGGATTGGACTGGACTGGATCGGATTACGGATTTCACGGATTCCTTGCTCAGCCCTACTTTGGGTAGTAGAATAGATTAAATATATTTTTTTATTAGGTAAGATTCATCGATGAAATTTTCTATAATTATACCAAAAAAATTTAAAAATTTCTCCAGAGCCTTTGTCTATTTGTCAAGCTTACTGACTTAGGCATCGGAGAGGTTTCCGGCACACACCCGCCGGCTAGCTCACGTTTGTGTTTTCAGGTGATAAAGCGACGTCGTACGGAGGAGCGTGGACTTGGTCAACAGGATTATACGAGGAGAATTATTTCCTCCCCGTACATTAATAAAAAATCATTTGTTATGTAACTAAATTTCTTCTGACTTGTTTTTGGGATAAATTATAAACACATCTAATATTTATTTAAAATATGAATTATTTTTTTAAATAAAATAAAAAAACAAAAGAAAACTCAAATATAGAGAAGTGTAAGTAAGATTTATACCTCTACAATTTTTTATTTACACTCACAAAAGCACTCACACCTCAATATTTATATATATATATTTTTCTATCCACTCCTGAGCTATGTTTAGTTATGACTTTTTGATTAGAAAAAGTGTAAAAGATAAAATTGGTTACATAAGAAAAAATATCACATTTAAATTATAATTATTATATATTTTTTTTCATAAAATTTAAAAAAATTGAAAATTAAAACCAAACAAGACTAAAAAAATTAGATTAAAATAATTAAAAATTAAAAAATAGACTATTTTAAGGAATTATTTAAGATAATTTAAATAAGTATACTTTTTGAATTTTTATGAAATATAAATTAAATATGAGATGGATTTAAAGTAGAAAGGTGATATAATTTAATGCCTAACTCTTAATTTTTCAGGCCTAAAGTATCCCCCTTCTAAAATTATATTCCGTCCAAGAGGCAGAATAAAAAACAGCTGACCGAACAGAAACAGCCGACGGAGTTCCGCAACTTGGACGGAACACTCTCTTCCGCTTCAGGTAAAAGCGGCCGTTGTACGCTACTTCGTTTTCTCTGTCTCTCACTCTCGCACTTTTTAAACCCTCCCTTGAGAGCGACGATGCCCTCATAGATACCCCACCTGCGATCTTCCTTTACGAATATAGGCTATGATATTTATATATTCTTATTTTTATAGAGAGAGAGAGAGAGAGAGAGAGAGAGAGAATGTATCGCCAGGCCCTCTCGTAATTCCAAAGCTAACATCACAACTGCATTTCCACCGGCATTGTAGTATTCCTAGAGAGAGAAAGCAATCTCAACTACGCCTGGTTGCATAACACAATTGAGAATTTATTCCATCTCCTCATTTCTGTTTATCTTCCTTCTGCGAATGTGGGATCTTCTAAGGTGTTTGTATTGGATTTCTTATCGATTGTTGATTGCATGAGTATGTAAAATGGCTAATAACTAATCTTGATTTTTTTTTTTTTTTTTTTTGACGATTGTTGATCTTCGTTGGATGTGATAGTTCGGTTCTTGATCTTCGTTTCTGGATGTTTACGTGAACGCGTTTAACTTTTTTTTTTTTAAGCTGAGCACTCAGATTGCGTTTTTTTTTTTTTTTTTTTTTTTGTGCGGTGATTATGCTGAATTTTGTCATTTTAAGTTCAATCTTGATTGAATTTGACTCGTTCAACTGCTTCTAGCTTCAATTGAGAATCTTTTAGATCTAAGATATTTTCCTCTTCAATTCTCATTGTTGTTGAAAACTCACAAGTTTTCGTCTTGTTTGTTGCAGAGATATCGCCGATTTGAATTGCTTTTGTAGGAAATACAATGCCAGGTAGTTTTGAGTTTAGACTGATCTCAGCTGTTTTGGATCGAATTGAGTTTGAAAGATTGCGTTTGTTTTGAATTTCATCATATGGATGGTTGTTTTATTTAGGAGAAGTTGTACTTATTGAGGAAGAAGAAAGGGCAAAGAGATCTGAGATCGAGACCTCTGAGGACGAGAAGAGAAGAACTCGGATCAGATCTTTTAAGAAGAAGGCCATGAATGCTTCATCGAAATTTACGCATACTCTTAGGAAACGCAGTAAGCGTGTTTCTCCTTGCCGATTTGCGTCAATTTCAATTGAAGATGTTCGAGATGAGAGGGAAATGGAGGCGGTGAATGCGTTTCGCCAGGCCTTGATTGCGAATGATCTCCTTCCGGCTCACCACGATGACTACCATACTATGCTGAGGTCAGTGAATCGCTTTTCAGATAGTTAATCGTATAATGAAAAACATCAACCACTATTATAACAGTAATTATGAAATGAAAAATGGACCGACTCTGTTGCAAATTGCAATTCTGTATTACCTTAGTCCACGATATATATATATGTTCAGTATGAAAATTGGATAAGGTTTGCTTCAATGCTTTGTCCATTTTATTTTATTTTTGATGCACATCATTACAAATTGGTCGTATTTACGCAGTTAAGATCTTATCATTGTGCCCTCTCTCTAATTTTCTCTGGCTTATATCAAAGGTTGTACATCACTCTGTCAAAGTGTCACCATTTGGGCCTCTAATGTTTGCAAACCCTGATTAAGACAATGTTAATATTCTTAATTACGTGAGGTTGAGAGCATCTAGATAACCTTTTCCTGTTCATGGGAACATGGACTTGTATGCTGGATGAATGTCAAAATCCTGTCTTAAATAGTGAAACTTGACAACCCCCAATGTGGCAATATGTATATATATATATTTTGATACCCGAACACCCCAAGGCAGTACCCTATGGATCCACCCTTACAAGCCAAACCGGGGGAAGCTAGCCGATCCACCTAAACCATCGGACTTTCACTTGAGTAGTAGGGGATTCTATCCTGATCAATAAGGTGAGGAGCATACTCCCTTACCAACTAGGATGGCCCCTTGGTGGTCCCAATGTGGCAATAAATTAATAGTTTAAATACTGAAATCATCAAGAATTCTCTTGTTGTCTCTGTTTTTCTTTATGAAATTGTGGACCACTTCACAGTTATGAACCGTAACATAGCTTGATACCACAATTAAATAAAGTTAGCCATCTTTGTATCACTATTTTTCAGTTAATCTCTTGAAGAGTGCACATGTTTGGCTGCAGGTGGTTACCTACCTCTTAACTAAGGTTTTAAATATTATGGAAGTACAACCACATAACATATTAGCATGTTATGGATTGAACTTGTCTTGAAGTAGCTAGGCATTTTGTTGGAAGTACAAGTTTACAAGCAACTGAAGGAGTTTTGCATAGCATCTCCAAATGAGTGCAAATTTTCATAAAGAAATGCAAAATATTTGTGAAGTTGAACTAAATATTGGTCAAAGGTGGTGCCTATGTTTCTAAATGAGGCCTTTGTTTAAGACCTTTCAATACTTTGACTCCTTTAGAGTCTTCTTCATGGAGATAGTGGACTATTTAGAGAGTCCCTTCCCTTTGCAGCTCTAGGATATTTGGGTAAAGTTCAAGGTCTAGATGGCAAGGCAACCATTTTCTAGATTTTACTCCTTTTGTTCTTCTCTCTATTTGTGTGTGTGTGTGTAAACTGGAGAGGCTTGAGATTGGGAAATGTAGTGCTTTTCAGTGACTTTTAATTTTTTATCATACACTGAGTGGAAAGTGCACATAAGATCAATTTGGAGGTGCTCGCAAATTGAAGAAAGTGATCAAATAGTTTTTTTCTTCGTTTGGGAGTGGATATGGTTGAGGCACAAATTTGAGAGTTAGCTTGTTGTATTCTATATATTGAAGCTAGACAGAGAAGCAGGTTTTAAAGGTAGTTTGAATAACTACAGGAATTCGTTTAAGTCGTTTAAGTCATGATCTCCGTTGGCCTGAGTGACTATCCGCAATATATCTTGGCATTGTCTGAAATACAAGAAATTCTTACAGGGAACATGTATGCATAAAAAATTGAACTGAATTATAGTACATGGGGAATTGTTAAGTTGATAGTTTCAACTAAATATATGGATTGTGTTTTTGACTAGGCTTAATTGTTCAAAAAAGCTTATCTCAAGCAGTTTGAATTGTGAAATTTGGTAGATTATCTTCTGTTAGAAACTTCTTTTTCCTATTCTATTCTTTTATCGCGTTGTTACAAGTAACATGCATTTTTACAGATTTTTAAAGGCAAGGAAGTTTGACCTTGACAAGACAGTCCATATGTGGGCAGAAATGCTCAACTGGAGGAAGGAGCATGCAGTAGACTCTATTTTGCAGGTAATAACTGCAATCATGGCAATGTTTTCACTTTACTAAAAGCACTTTATTTCAGTGCATAAGACCATATCCCAGTCTGGACAAGGACCTAGGAGGGGCAAAATGAGGCACCAAGACTTGTTTGGGATTTGTTATTGTTTAAACCCTATCTTATATGTATGCAGCAATTCCCTACTTTAAGTCCTTATAGCATAAATCCTAAATAAAACATGGGATCTCTGGCATGCTACTCTGGTTTCAGATAAACACATTTATGCCAAATTTTGCTGTGTTGTATAAGTTACTTGCATTTTATGCGCTACAGTTATGTAAGTTACCATACCAATATCATGTTTTTATGTTGTGCTCTGGACTTCATGTTTCTTTTTTGAAACCGCATGGTAATAGTTAAGAAACTTGGCATCATCCGAATGTTTAAAAGAGTGAATTATTGATTAGTTCTTGATGAATTATCTCCTCTAAAATGTTGTGGATCTTTCTGTTGATCCTCAATCTGTCGAGATAACTCTGTGCTGGCAATGCCCCTGTAAATATAATTTTTGGATGTTTGGGGGGAGTACATTTCCTAAACCAAGGGAAGAGTTGCAACCAAATTCCAAAATGTAGGCACTGACCAGAACATATGGTAACCTGTCAAAGTTGTAAAATGAAATTTTTTAAAGGAACCAAAATTGGGGTTTGAATTAATTTAGAATCTTCCAATCTTCATTATGATTCTGAACAAACCACTTTGTTGTTTAGCCAAGTCTAATAGATTGGAATGAGGCAGCTTCATTTACAACAACTTGTCAAGTTGGAAAGTGTGATATTGTCGAGTTAACTTTGCTCTTCTTTTGTAAGGGGATTTTCACAAGTTCCTATCGCACTTTTTCTAAAAGTTAAGCTCTTTATTTCTTTTTTTCACTCATACCTGCTTTATCTGGCAACTTCATGTATTACTCAAAATTCTTATATCAATTTGTAAAACAAAAACCTAGACAACCCCACACCCCCCCCCCAAAAAAAAAAAAAAAAAAAATTCCCAATTGGTT